CACAGAGGGCACTTATTTCACACTGGTAAAATAATGCTCTTTACTAGTAAAGTAGTGCTACTACTAATTACTTTACTAATAAAGTAATGCTTAAATTTCTCCAAGCTAGGCTTCAACAGTATGTGAACCAAGAATTTCCAGATGTTCAAGCTGGATTTAGAAAAGGCAGAGGAACCAGAGATTAAATTGCCAACTTCTGTTGGCTCATAGAATAGAAGAGAATTCCAGGAAAACATCTACATCTGCTTCATTGACTATGCTAAAGCCTTTGTGTAGATCACAACAACCTGTGGAAAATTCTGAAAGAGATGGGAATACTAGATCAAGTTACCTGCCTCATGACAAATTTGTATGCAGGTCAAGAAATGATAGTTAGAACCAGGCATGGAATGATAGGCTAGTTCAAAATTGGGAAAGGATTACGACAAGGCTGTATATGGTCACCCTGCTTATTTAACATATATGCAGATTACATCTTGCCAAATGCTGGGGTGGATAAAGCACAAGCTGGAATCATGATTTCCAGGAGAAATGTCAGTAACCTCAGACTTGCAGATGACAACAGCCTTGTGGCAGAAAGTGAAGAGGTAGTAAAGAGCCTCTTGATGAAGGTGAAAGAGGAGGGTGAAAAAGCTAGTTTAAAATTTAACAATCAAAAAAATGGCGATAATAGCATCTGGTTCCATCACTTCATGGCAAATAGATTGGGAAACAAGGGAAGCAGTAACAAACTTTATTTTCTTGGGCTCCAAAATCATAGCAGATATTAACTGTAGACATTAAATTAAAAGATGTTTACTCCTGGGTAGAAAAGCTATGAAAAACCTAGACAGCATATTAAAAATCAGAGACATTACTTTGCTGAAAAATGTCTGTCTAGTCAAAGCTTCATTTTTTTCCAGTAGGCGTGTGTGGATGTGAGAGTTGGACTGAGGGCTGAGCACCAAAGAATTGATGCTTTTGAACTGTGGTGTTGGAGAAGACTCTTGAGAGTCCCTTGGACTGCAAGGAGATCAAACCAGTCAATCCTAATGGAAATCATTCCTGAATATTCATTGGAAGGACTGATGCTGAAGCTGAAACTTTACTATTGGCCACCTGATGTGAAGAGCTAACTCAGTAGAAAGTTAGCTACTGGGAAAGATCGAAGGCAGGAAGAGAATGAGACCACAGAAATGAGATGGTTGGATGGCATCACTGATTCAAAGGACATTAGTTTGAGCAAGCTCTAGGAGATGGTGAAGGACAGGGAAGTCTGAAGTGCTGCAGACCATGGGGTCGCAGACTAGGACATGACTGAGCAACTGAACAACAGTAAAATATTTAAATTCTAAAGTTCACAGGGTCACTGAGAAATTGAACGCAGCATCTCTAAGGTAGCTTTGAAGCTGTTGTCTAAGACAGTGGGAAGAACATGAACTTTTGCTCATAAAGTCTTTTGAGTGGAAGCACCCTCTTTTGCTCCTCACATAACCTTGAAAGTCATTAGCTTTTACTTGTACCTATTTTTATGCCCACAATGTGACATGGCATGTGAAACATAATAAGTTCTCAAAATTCTTTTGTGTCCTCTACCCTGACTCTCCCATCCATCTGTGCTAAGAATCAACCTTTGTTCATCAGATGACAGTCTTTCCCTTTTACACAGCTGGAAATCTGTTTCCTGTTCTATACTCTATTTGTAGTGTTGCATTTCCACGAATGCTGTGGAGAATTATTTCTGAGTATCTAGAGGTGATTTCAGACTGCCTTGAGAGGGAATAGAAATAGAATAGAATAGAAGTGTCACATAAGGTTTGTAACACACCAAACAAGTAACTATTTATTGGGTGTTTTGTAATTTCTGAAGGTGAGATTCACTCAAGCTTAGCTGTCCACAGTAGACATCAACCATACAAGTGCTATCTCCATTAAGCCAAAAGATTGTCAATATATTTATTTTGTGAATTAGGTCTTTTAAAAAAGATTCACTTCCTCTTTTTTCCACAATCTGATAATAGGAAGTTTGACAACCTGAAGGACTTGAGCAAAATCATCTCTGATATCCCATGCAAACTCAAAGATAAACCTATTGTTGTATATATAACCAATTTATTAAAATCAATTTATTTTAAAAGTTATTAATAAATTGTTTCTTTTTAATTGCTCTGTAATTCAAACATACATTATTACAAACTGGCTCTCCTCCCATATGACTGATGTTTGAATAACAACTTTAGCATAGTTGACTTTTTAAACTATATGATACAGAAATTATGTGTGCATGCATGCTAAGTCACTTCAGACTCTTTGTGACCTTATGGACTGTAGCCCCCTAGGCTCCTCTGCCCGTGGGATTCTCCAGGCAAGAATATGGAATGGGTTGTCATGCCCTCCTTCAGGAGATCTTTCCAACCCATGGATCAAATCTGCATCTCCTGTGGCCCCTGCATTGCAGGCTGATTCTTTACTGCTGAGCCACCAGAGGAGTCCACAGAAAATCCATGCTATTATATTACATATATCAGCCTGTTATGTGTGGTGTCAGAACAGCTGCTTAAGAGCTATTTAAGGAAGATGTAGTAAAGAAAGTAAATGGGATTTGAAGATAAATATGATAGTTATTTATTTTTTTCATGACACATTACTTTTTATTATATTCTTTTTTAAATTAATTAATTTATTTTACTTTGCAACATTGTATTGGTTTTGCTATACATTGACTTGAATCCGCCGTGGGTGTACATGTATTCCCCATCCTGAATCCCCCTCCCACCTCCCTCCCCATCCCTATGAGTTAAATTGTCTGAGTTATGCTGCCTGGATATTTGGCCAAACACTATTTTGGATGTTTCTGTGACAGTAGTTTTGTATGATATAAATTTTTAAGTCAGTGGGCTTTGAATAAAACAGACTTCCCCTCATAATTTGGCTGGGCTTCATTGCATCAGTTGAAAATCTGAGTAGAACAAAAAGACTGGCCTCCTCAGGCTAGAAGGAATGCCTCAGTAATTGGCCTTAGGACCTGAACTACATTGTCAGTGACTTCTGGGATCTCTAGCCTGCCAGTACACCTTTCAGATTTTGGACTCACCAGCCTCAATAATCACATGAGCCAATTATTTAAAATAAATCTCTTTCCACATTGTATTGATTCTGTTTCTCTGAAGAACCCTAATATAATAAATAACCCCAGACATTATGAACTCTGAGCCACTATGGGTTTCCTATTCTATCAATCTGTATTTGAAGAATGCATTGGTAGGTAATCAGTTGTGTGATCTAATAGTTCCCATTGGTTAAAAGTATAAGCCAGAACAAAGACAGAAATATAGATCAATGGAACAGAATAGAAAGCCCAGAGATAAATCCACGAACCTATGGTCACCTTATCTTCGACAAAGGAGGCAAGGATATACAATGGAAAAAAGA